CCCCGCCTCCCGCCTCTCGGCCTGCGAGCGGCAGGGCTGCCCTGGGCCGCTAGAGGGGGCCCGGCGCCCGGAGGCGAAGGGCGGGCTTGCGGGCCGGAGAGGAGGGAGCTCGCGTCACCGGGTTCGCGCGGCGCCCGCGCGGGGGGAGAGAAGACGCAGCGGCTGCGAAGTGCAGGTACCGCGGGCCAACCGGCCTGCCCCGCGGAGGGAGGAGCGTTTTGCTCCGCGGGCCTGGCTCGGCTGGCAGAGCCCACGACCGGCTGCTGACAAAGGCCCTCCCGCGTTGGGCGGGCAGGGGAGAGGCACCCGGGTGGGTGGCTGTCGGCCTACGCGCCCTTCCCTCCGGATCAGGGCCCTGGGGGGGGATTCGCCGAGGGACTGTGCCTCGCCTGGGTGCTCGGGAAGAATTGCGGGAGCCTCTCCCACCCTCCGAAGTTTTTCTTTCAGAGATTAAAGCTTGGTTGCTTTAGTCCGCGCGTGGGTCGCCCTTTTCTTTGGGGCGTTGCGTGTCGGGTCTTTTGAGAGAACCGCGCAGTAAAAGGAAGAACAGCCGGCTTTCTTACGGCTCCCCCTCACAAAGAACGGGCTGCCCTTCCCCGGTTCCTTCCGGGGTTTTTGCATGGATGGTCTGTGGGCCGGGATGCCGGGCGCCGGAGTAGAGCGGGAGCCCGGCTCTGGAAGCAGGCGCTTCGGCCTCTCTAGGAGATTCCCCGAAATGGGAGGAGAGGAATTGAAGTCGGCAGGTTGGGGTTGAAGGACTCTTGGGGTGCCTGTGACATCGGAGAGGGGAATGGAACGAATGAAAGATCGGCTTGTTGGGTCGATGTACGAAGTCTGTAGGAGTGGGATGGGAGAAGATGGGTGTCAGCGTGAACTCTAACTCCAGCTTGCTCTAATAGGCCTTTGCGAGTTTTCAAGTGTCCAGTAAGGTTTACATTTTCCTACTCCATTAACAATGCCTTCCTCTCCCCATTATATGCCAGAGAAACTGCTTGAGGAGAAACAAGGTTTGTGTGAGTAGGTGTGTGCAGTCTGAGGCAAAAAAAAAAAATCACCTGGTAAACAAGGGTGTGTCCTCCTATACTTAAACCAGACAAGGGCAGTGGGAAGCTTCAGCTTGTCCCAGCAGGAATAGTGCCACTTCTACTATTTTCCAAACATGATGTTTCCTCTGTTCTGAGGGGGAATTAGCTAATAGCTTCGAAGCATCCAAAGGGAAGCGGAACAAGAGTTATGATGGATCTTAGAAGAGTCCGTGATGTGCACTTCTCTCCCCATGTGGCACATTCGGCCCAGGAGCTATTGGAGCAAATAATACCTGAACACGATACTTTACGCCAAGCCTTGGCTTCTCTCTCTGCTGGTCTAGCAAAGCTTGAGAAACACCTGGAAGAGACAGATCATCGTGTGGGAACCCTGGAAGCAAAGGTGATGTCTACTCAAGGTTGTGTTGTCAAACATGCTACTCTGATGAAGGAGCTGGCAGTAGGAAAGTTGGTGGCTGACTACAAGCTGGAGACCCTAGAAAACAAATTGCGAGCTCGGAACTTGAGGGTTACGGGTGTCCCAGTAGCCATCAGAAATGTGAACCTGATCCCGTTCATAGAAAATCTGTTATCATCTGCCTCAGATTTAAATGGCAAACAGGTTCCCATCTGTATAGAAAGTGCTTACCGTCTCCCAGCAAAAAATGCCCAGGTGGGTAACGTGGGTAATGGCAGTACTGTACTAATCACCCTTTCTGATTTGCGGCATCGGGAGAGAATACTGAAGACATCCTGGACTTCCTGGACTACAGACTTCCATGGTCACAAGGTATCCTTCTTTCCTGATCTCAGTCCATTGACATATGCCCGACGGAAACATTTTGTGGCTCTCAAGCAACAGTTCCTGAAGGAAGGAGTTCAGGCTTATGTATTGTACCCTGCAAAATTAAAGGTTCTGCACCAGGGGAAAACATACATCTTCAAGGACATTCGATCTGCGGCTCAGCTGCTGGATAAAATCCGAAAAGGTAGTTGGTAAATGGAGAAAAATTAGTACAGACTTTGAGGAGAAAGCCCTGCTCCTTTTGGGCATAGTATTGACAAGATGACTTTAGTAATCTTTGACCTTTGTTATTTTGAATTAAGGATAATGATTAGTAGCAGATTCAGTGGAATGAAGTCTAGTTTAGGTGTACCAGTGATGTGCAGGCACACAAACCAAGCCTTCACATCAGACTGATATCCTGAGAGACTGGGGAAGGCTTGTAAACACCTTCATCAGCATACATTGCATATGCTTGAGTGGGAAATACAAATATATGACTCAGGATCTGAATGAACTAGAAGTATCTTGGTCTACCTCTTGAGTTGGTTTCCACAGTGATTCTTCTTTTATCCTTTACTAGTAAGCAGAGAAGGTTGATAGGGGATTTTTATACTCATTTGCAGGGTTCTGCTATTGATGCAGAGGTGAAATGGTTGCTTCCAACCCTTGCAATCAACTGGAAAATTGCATCATTTACATGAGTTTTTTTTACACTGAGTACCCAATTGCTACCATATTTCCAAAGGACTTTGAAGTAACATGCTAGCAAAAGAGATTTGTTTGCATTAATATATTTTCAAGCACACAGTACTCTTTAGAATAATCTGTCCTATAGTGCTTGAAAGTAATAGACTGACATTTCTTCTTTGCATACATACTCATCTTTGCCCACAGATGGGTTTTGCCTAAAACTGATTTTATGAGATAATTGCCAAGTTTATGCATCATAAAAAAAGTAGCAATTACTTTTCTATGATTTAAGAAAAACAGTACATTTTCTACTGACAAGCTCTTCAAAGATATATGGCCATTCCTGCAATACATTTTTCAGCATTAAGTACCCAGATATCATTATAGGGCCCTAGCAGGAGTTGCTTTCAAGGAGAGTAGTGTCCATCTTTGTTATGGTAGCTTGAATTGTGGGATTTGGCAAACCCATCTTGGGCAAGTGACAAAGTCACAAAACTGCATCTTCAACTTTTGTGTGGATGTAGATCACAGTAGGAGGTCCTGAAAATAATAATTCTCCCAATTGTAGCAATGACTGAATACACTAATAATTAGTCTGATTGCTCTTTACATCTTTCCTTGCTGATTCTAAAAAGGTGGGAGAAATGTTCGTGCTATTTTAAAGCCATTGCTATGCATCAAGATGATGACTTCTGAAACATTTGAATACAAAACCTCAAATATTGTGAAGTCAGCTAGAAGATAGGGTACCTAAATGTTTTCCTGAAGCAATCACACATATTGGAACTGAATTATTTTCCTCAAAAGGCACAGAAATAGTTGTTCCTCTGCAAGCAGTTTTGCATGGTTTCCCACAATATATGCTAGGGGGAGAGGGAGGGTGTCCTACAGCTTTCCTATCACTTTTGAAAGTGAAATTTGCTCCCTTAGTGAAAAGGCTTCCTATATCTTTTGATGCCATAGACTCTGCTATTTGTGCATTGAATCTAATTATCTTTTCCCTTTCTCTCATACTGCCTGTACTTGGATAGAGGCAAAAATAGGTGAAGCAAGCAAAGCATTTCCTTCTAATTTGACAAGTGGGACATTAACAAAGATTGAAAGAGAAACTCAGAGAGAGGAACAGCAAAATCTGAAGATTTAGAAGGAAAGGATGGGCAAAAGTTTGGCGAAACCCACATAGCATCAATATGGAAGACATAGAGTGCATTTTAATTTTGTCCTGAGTAAGCTGGGTAGAATTTTGTTTCAGTAGCAAAATAAAAGGGAAGGGAGATCTTTTTGACCTTCAGTGGGGCCTAAAAGTTAGGATAGTTTAGAAAAACGGAAATATGGAAAGTGGGAATCTTCCTTCCTGTGGCTGTGAGAAGGCGTTAAGTTGTAAATGAGACAAGGGAAGAGGTATAGTTGCTGTTGTTTTTGTTACAATCTTATATATCTAAGAGCTATTTGATATTCTCCTACCAAAATTGTTTTCACTGGCATGGAAATGCAGAAATAGGGTGTGAGGGATAAACAAGAGAATACATATGTCATTTTTTTATCAGCCAGCTAAACAACAGCCATGATAGGGAAGGAGGCATTTTCTGAAACTACCTTCTGATTATGAATTGGAACCTGCTAGTACACGTTTTGGGCTTTAGAGGTCATTTGGGAAAGGCATTCTTAAGTGGGACTGTCCTACCTTCCAAATAAGAGCTCACTTATAACTGCAAGCACCTTATGCTCACTTGTTAAGGAGACAGCTGTCAGGTGAGCAATTTAGTAGTGGCAGCTGCTGTTGCACGTTGCCATTGATTACCTGGAAAAAGAACAGTCAGGTGGGAAAGCTGAAATGACACAAGAGAGGCAAGAAGACTTTTGTCAACATTGGTTTGAAAAATGCCCAGTCATGCTGATCCCTGTTACTATTTTATTTATGCTACTCCCACCTTACCTCCACCTTATACCTAGTAGATATCCATTATATACTTAGTTCTCCATCTATGCATGCCATTTTATCCTTGCAGTGGCCCTATGAGAGATGGTTGCTGATCAGTCACCCAGTAAACTTGGGTGTGGATTGAGTGTGGATTTTAATCTGGATTTCTCCAATCGTGTTCCAGTATTCATAACTTATATATCACAGCAGCCCTGGTGATTGCCTATATTCTTCCAAAGCTGGTTGTATTGGTATTGCTTAAAAAAGAGATTTAAATCTTAAGTAGCAATTCAGTATGACACTGTTATTGAGCCACACAAACAGTTTCAGTTTTTAAGTTTAAACCACCCTGTGCACTGCTATCCACCATCTCCAACTTCAGTGAGTGCCGTAGAGCTTGAAGGCTTTAGCTCTGGTGCAAGGACAAGCTGAAATAGCTAACTCTGAGCAAGATGAACTTGATGTCTGATTGTTCTAACCTCTAAACAATAAACTTGGTTTCTTATGGTGTCAAATAAAGCCATAATTATTTCCCTCCCTCCTCAAAAAAGGCATGAGGGTTGAGGAGGAAAGAAAACGTCTTATACATAGTCTGCTTATGTCTTATGTGTCTTATACCCTACAGCTGTAATCCTGAAGTTTCACGGTGCATGGCATTTGTTGGCTCATTGCCTTACCGTAGCAAGCTCTCCTCAAGCTCTCTGATCCTAGTGGATCTTTTCTTTTTCTCTCAAACCCTTTCAGAAAAGATGACTGTGACTTTGATCCGCAACAGGCTGGCGCTGCTGGTCCTAGGAATCCTTGTTACTTTTGTCCTCTACCTGTTGCTTCCTGCGATCCAGCATGAAAAATTTACTGCTTCAGTAGACATCCCTAAGCCACGGGCCATGGAGGAAGAGATGAAGGGTACAGGTGCTGGGAATGTCACCATCGTGACAGGGACAACTTTGCAAAACCCTTCTGTTTTCTTTAGAGAAGCGGTGCTGGTACAAAACAATGTGGCTTCTTCCACTGAAAGATAAGTTACCCTCCTTATTTTTGAGACTCCAAAAAGTTAAATCTCCTTCCCATAATAAATAACACTCATGCAACCTATCCAGTCTGGTAGTACACAGAAACATTAGCTTGAGTTTGGGCTGTTGGCAGCAATTCTTCTGGTTGGTTTAAAGACTACCAAAGGTATGACAAATATTGGTTGATTTAGTTTTTAAAAGTGAATCATTCTCTTGAATGGCTCATTTATTTTGTTCTACTAAAAGTTGCATTTTTGTTATTGCTGTACTTCAGTGAATAGGTGACAAAATATTTTTTACCCATCTATTTATCTTGGCATTTCCTAGATGGAAGCCATGTCATTCATTCATTCATTCATTCATTTCATAGGCCACCCCAATTTGTACGACTCTGAGCGGCTTACAAAAAACCCAATTATTATTGCTAACTAGATGTAGCTCCTGGATCTCTCCACAGAGAGAACACAATTTATTTCTTGCAGAGTGCACAGTAATTCAGCGTTGGTAGTCCATGGCTGAGTCTTGCTTGCTGATGCTAGAGTTTCCTTTCTACATCTATTGTGCTAATCTGTGGCTTTCTTGGCTAATGTATTTATAATATTATAAAATAAGAGAGATGGAGCTACTACTCAGACATTGCAGGGGATCTAAATATATTTTTCTTAGCTAGCACATTTGCCACAAAGCAATCTCATTTTCCAAGTTTGTAAAAGCATCACTTTTCATCTCTTAAAAATGGCTTTCTCTTAGTTAGCAATTAGTTGCAATTAGGAGCCTCATATGTTTTCTTTGACTATATGAGTACCATGCATTCTTATTATTGACTGATCATGGTGATTACCCAGGCCATTTAAGAATATTTTTTCTGTCAGATAATCTGAGTACATCCTTCTGTACTAGTGCCTATACTGTATAACCTTTTAAAGGATGGAAGAGAAACATTGCAAAAATTAGAATACATGTCTACTTTCCTTAGCCATGTTTGTTTATTAACTACATTGCTCATGTACATCATGGCCAAATGCTTTTCCTAACCAGGCAAGAATTACTTTGGGGCTAAAACAAACTAATACTCTTAATTTTCCTGAAAGACACTTGAGATTTCAGGGTGGGTTCCCACATTGTCCTGTGGGAAGTGATGATGCAAAGTGGGGGAAGCCAACTTTTTTTTTTCTTTTCCTTTTTTGAGATGAATTTTGAGATTTTTAATTTTATAAATAAAATATTTTGGGACTTAACAGTATTTTTCAATACATTACTCACATCAGAATGGCAAGAAATGATGACATTAATTTTTAGTTGTTTTTCTTAATAGGCTGGCAGTGATCTTCTTGCATGGTCAGTCCTTCACATCCAAGATATGGGAGAATCTAGGAACACTGGCTTTGCTTTCAGAGAATGGATATCGTGCAGTAGCTATTGATTTGCCTGGTAAGAGTAAACAGTGAATTTATTATTACTAATTTTGGCTTTTCAGCTTCAGCTTCATATGCTTTTATGAGCTGATATTTGGTAATAACAATATACATTTCTATGGATATTTATTTACTCATCATATTTATATAGTTCCCCATCTCACATTTAAGTGACTCCAGACAATGTACAACAAAACATACAAATTAATATTAATATTATTAATATTAAAAACTAAAAACAGGATAAAAAAGAGATTAGGTGAAGAGGAGGTGTTAATTACACAGCCATCTCAATAATTTGCCAGTCCCCTGGGATCCCCAGGCCTGCTGACACAACCAGGTCTTGAGGGACCTCTGGAAAGCTAAAAGGGATGAGGCCAGCCTCAATTTGGGGGGAATGATGTTCCTTAAAGTGGAGGCCACAGCAAAAAAGACCTTTTGCCTAGGACCTGCCAAATGAAACTCTGTAGTCAATGGGACCCGCAGCATGCCCTCTCTGCTGGATCTGGTGAGATGGGCAGATGTAACTGGGAAGAGGGGGTCCCTTAAATGACCTGGCCCCATGCCACCTAGGGCTTTAAAGGTCAACACCAGCACCTTGAATTGAACCAGGAAACAGACCGGTAACCAATGCAGCTTGCAGAGCAGAGGTGTAACGTGTGTTCTTCTGGAAACACATGTAACTGCCCATGCCACTGGATTTTGCACCAACTGAAGCTTCCGGATACTGTTCAAGGGTAGCCCCATGTAGAGCTTATTACAGTAGTCCAACTGGGAGGTGACTAGGGCATGAATGATTGTGAGTAGAGCCTCTCGATTTATCTCTTGGTTTGGCAACACACTTTGAATGAAGGCAGCGAACCAAGGCAGAAGGATGAGCACTACTGTTTTTATTCAGTAAGTCACTCCTATCCTGCATGTTCCATTGGCAATAATCCCTCCCTCTCTCCCTGGAGTGAATGCCAACAGATCCATATTCATAACATGAGAATGTAGTTCATTATTTAATAAGGGAGAAGGGCCCTTGGAATCTGTTAGCTAGAAGGGAAAGCCAGGTTTGTTCCAGAGTGCCATGCTCTGTAAAGATTGTGGTCAGCAACACACTGAAGATTGCACTGCCTCTCTTTTCCAGATCTGTTCCCCCTTTCAGATACTATTGTATTTTATTGTATTTGGTGGAGAACAATGTTCATATTTGTTTAGCGCATACCCCCTCCCCCCCCAAATCTTTGTAGCTCCCACTCTAATGGTTTTGAAAAGTCCTTAAAAACCTGGCTCTTCTCCCAGGCTTTGTGAGTAGGGTGGCTGTTAAGCCCCTGTTGGGTACATTTTGTGCAGTGCTTGGAATTTACGTCTGGACATTTATAGTATTTTTGTTTTTTATACTTTATAATGCAAGCCTCCCAGAGTCCCTCTGGAATTGGGTGGCCTTAAATCAAATAAATAGATAAATAAATAGGTTTCTTTGTTATAGTTATCACATTGGAGAGGTGGCAGGACTAGTCTATAAAAGTACAGCTTGCATTACTAGTGATTTATGTTTTAGAAGGATTTCTAATGTCTGGTACTGTAGGTTGAGCAAAGTTGCTTAACTAGTCAGAAGGAAGCCAGAAGTAATAGTTAGAATATACAGATTGCTGGGATAACTGCACAGCCATGTAGTTTTTCTCTTTGACCTCTGCACAGTCAGTTCCCTAGAGCCTAATTTTAGCTAAAATTCAGTGCTGCATTTCAGACTAGCAGGAGTTAGTTGTGTAGTTTAAGCATGCTTTAAATAAAAAATGCTAGTTTGGAAGAACCTAAATTTGCCCCAGGTTCTCTTAAGCTGTATTTGACCAGGGGATCACAAAGTGAAACCAAGTTTTCCCTTGAAAGTTGGAGGGCAGTGTTATGTTGCTGGTTACGACAGCCTTCCTGAACCTGGTTCCCTCCAGATCTGTGCCCTGAGGAATTCTAGGAGCTGTGATTTCAGCATATCTGGAGAGAACCAGGCTGAAAAAAGGTAAGTTCCTCTATAAAGATCAGAATGACATGAGTTAGTACAATACGTGTCTTTATTGCTAAGTTTGGTATCAATGACTAAAGCTAGTAACTAAAATCCTTTTGATGATTCTCCTTGTTTGCTTATAATTATTGCCTGATTCTACTTATTTTAGTCATTCCACTTTTTGTTTGTTTGTTTCAGGTTATGGGGACTCCCCACACTCAGATTCTGTTGGGACTGCACAAGGCCGTGTTTCTTTTCTGGAGCAAGTCTTCAAGGAGCTGGGCCTTCAGAAGTCCGTTTTGATAAGCTCATCTATGAGTGGTCGATATTCCATTCCATTCCTCCTTTCTAGCGGAGAACAGCTGAAGGGGTTTGTGTCTATTGCACCAGTGGGCACAAAAGACTTTACAACTCAACAATATCAGCAGGTCAAGGTAAGAGATCTATAGATTGGAAAAACTAGCTATATTTATTTGCATGGAAGATGACCTTGAATTTAAGGCAAACCCTCTCCTGCCAAGGAAATATTAAAGAAAAAAAGTCTCAGTGAATCTAAGCAGATCCTCCCTTTTAAAGGCATGTTTTGCAAATGATTTGAGGAAAATACATATATTCATTTCAAGTAAATACAATAAATTTGATTTAATATAAACTTTAATTCAGTTAAATTAGTGTGGTTATTTCCTGCGAATTTAACACTTCTTTCCTTCCATCCCCCCAAAAATCACTCTTTGTACTAACTTTTGGAGCTCTATAAGCTACAGGTAAGTTTTGCAGCAACATGTGTTTCCCTGGGAAGGCAGATTGTACAATCCCTGGTCTACAGCTTATTTAGAAAGGATGTCCTAGGTTTAAATCTTCCTTGTGATTTTAGTGAGGAAATGGAAAAGGGAGATGAATGGTATCTTTCAAGGACACAGATATACCAGGTACAAAATCTGATGTCTGGCATAGAGCTTTCTTTTAATATAGATGTCCTTGATGTATGTTGAAGTGGAGAAATAGGAAGAAGAGACAGAACTTGGAGGAAATTGTGTAGACAGTATTGCCAGGGAGGACAATCTCTCTAGTTTTATAAACCTGAAAGAAGGGTGGTGGAAAGAAGTTCTGCTATGCAGATACTAGGTAGCATACTTATTGTGTCAGTATAGACCAGCCTTTCTCAGCCGTTTTACCCTGGAGGAATCCTTGAAATAATTTCAGGTCTCAGGAAACCCCTTTATAAAAATTGCAAAAAAATTACAAGAACTTCACAATAAAATTCACTTCTAACCCACACAATCCACTTTTTAAGCCATTTACAACAGCAAAGCAGCAGGCCAGTAGCTGAGTTGCAGCACATAAAAATTCCCACCACTGTGAGTGTTAGGATTGTGCAATGTGTGAAATTAAAAAAACAATGTTTATTTTTTTCAATTACGACCTCTTGTGGAACCCGAGGGTTCCATGGAACTCCAGCTAAGAAAAGCCGCTCTAGACGCTTGCTGGGTTTTTATAGTTCTCCTTATGACAGATATAGCAAGTATGTGTTATTGGGCCACATAGGATTGCAGTATTCCAAATATGGCAGTCATTTCATCACCAGTCCCTCCCATCTGCCATGGCACCCGTCCTTTGGAACATCATTCCCCCTGAGATTAGATTTGCCCTGTCCCTGTCGGCCTTTTGAAAGGCCTTGAAAATGTGGCTTTGTGCTCGAGCCTGGGGCCCTGGGCATGGGTTAGAGCCCATCTCCTGATTGTATGGATGATAGGTTAGATCATGTCTGGCTGCTATGTTTTTTTATTTTTGTTTTCTATTATTTATTTTGTGTTTTTATTTTATTGTAAGATGCCTAGAGACACGTAAAAGTAAGATGGCGGGTATATAAATGGAGCAAACAAACTATATGTCATTCCATAACTTAATACCATTTGCGGCTCCTGATGTTCTGCCCCTTGCTGTGAGTAGCCAAGAGTAAGAGGTAGAAGGGCCAAAATAATTGGGGCTCCCACCCTCTAGAATTCCCTCCTAGAATAAATGGCCCTCTTTATCTGCTGTATTAATATCAGCCTTGCAAGGTAGTTCAGACAAGAAGCACACCCAGAAGTACTAGCTCTAACTTTATTGTAAGGTTACATTAACAGAATCTTGCAAGTCTGAAATTACATCTCTCCCCCCTCAACAGTCCAAGAAACTAGGGAGGGTCCCTTCTGAGTTGCTTGCCATGTCCCCCAGTCCTTCTGAGGACTCAGCTGCTGCTTGTCTGACTGTTGGCTAGTCTGCAGCTCTTCCTCCTGTCTCCCAACATCATTCCCATGTACCATTGTGTCTAATGTATTCAGATTCATGTCCATTCACTGTCTCAAGTGCTTCCTTTGATTGGAAGGGCCATCCAGATATGTTATGCTTATGTTTTTCACAGGGCCTTTTTGCAAGTTGTATTGAAGAGAATGGCAATTGTTTAGCAGTGATATTTGGGAGGCTGTACTCCTAGTGTTCACTTGCATAATCCCTGTGGAATATTGCTTATGTATTTATACTTCAATTTTTCTAGACACCAACATTGATAATTTATGGAGAGCGTGATACTGGCCTGGGTATACAGTCTCTGCAGAGCCTTCAGCAGATTCCCAGATCCAGAGTTGTCATGTTGCCTGGTGCTGGTCATGCCTGTTATCTTGATAAACCTCAGGAGTTCCACAAAGCACTGCTGAACTTCCTCAGAGAATTAAAATGACTGTGGTATCCATTCTTACTTGCCCTGCTGTATCCCATTTTCCTTTTCCCAGGGAAAAAGTGAAGACTGAATGTCTATTATGTAACTGGGATGATGTGCATATACATCTGTTTCTTCATACTTCAAGGGCTATAGAGCTTTTTGGCAGCTTTTTGATGGAAGAATTTATCTCTGCTTGTTTGTGGAGTTATTTCTTTTACAAGTGCTCCAAGTGTGATTGCCGGAATCCTGCAAACTGGCAGAAGTACTGGATCAAGGACATAGAGAGCAGGGTAGCACTATTTTCACAATATTTTTGTGACAGACTGAAGAACTTGATCTGCACATCACTATTCAATTTTTGTCCTTTTTAAGAGCTGATCTCTCCAGAGAAAGGTGCAACATCAACTCCAGCATCTTACTTCAGGAACCCAGGCCACAGATACTGTCCTGAGGTTGATTTTTTTTTCCCATTAACTACCAACTACTATTTTCAGTGTGCACATTTCTGTTCTGAGGATCAGGTGTTTTATTGTGCTTTTTATCTTATATCTATTGTTGTGGTTTGGCGGGTTTCCTCACATTTTTTCAACAGTGGAAGGAGACAAAATTGATGTGCTTGTCCTTGCTTGGAGCAGGTAACTTTTGAAATTGCCCAAGAGGCATTTGGGAAATTTGAAAAAAAACTTTGGAAAAGAAATGACACATTTTAAATGCATTTTTTCCTTTAACTTTGATGACCATGTAATACCTTGGTTGCCTAGCTGTAACATGTTGGCCCTCTGTGAATGACATATTTAGTTAGAATGTGTCATCCAAGTTCTCACCTAAGCAAGAGGGTATGGAAGACATAAAGAGAATGAATCAATAACCTTTCGAAGGAGCTTAGTCCATGTGTTAGAGGAGGGGATGATTTCTCCTACTCATTAGGTTATATGTTATCTAGGTTTTTGAGTGTTGCAAAACCGTTTAAGGGTAAATAAATTGTTTATACAGATATTTGGTGTATATATGTGTGTATGTGCAAACTAGACACACTTGATGAGATCAAGCTATGAGGCCATGACTGATAACATAGAAATTTGGCTTTATAAAACCTTATGGAATAAGGCTCTGTGTTGTTAGACTTTTTAATTATAATCTGTTACAAAAACTATGCTCACAATCACTTCCCTATAATATAATTGTGTTTTTTTCCAAACAGGTTTTCCAACTTCAATGCAAAGACTTCTTGTATGGCTTTGAATTTTCACCCAGTTACTAAATTCTCTCTAAATAAGTTCAAGTGAGTGTATTTCTACATTCTGTTGCACACTGAACTGCTAGGCTGAGTACTTTCAACTATTAGTTGAATAAGAAAAGGTAGTAATTTACTTTCTTCAATGAAAAAAGAAGCTAAGAACTTCTATTCTCTTGTGGTTTCAAAACAGAGTTAGGGGTTTATTAGAAGAGATAAAACTTTTTTCTGCACAGCTCTGGTATTCAGAAATTTCTAAGCAAAACAACGGTATTGGAGAGGTTTGTGGGCTTTGTAGCTTATCCTGATGAAGAGTGGTGGTTTTAAAGTGGAACACAAAATTTGAAAATATATGTTTCTTCTAGCTATCTTTTGAATCTAAATGCTAGAGTAAAAATATCTAGCTCATTCTATTGTTCGTATAGAGATTAGCTACCTTGATTTTAAGGTTCTCATTTAATGGCATGCAATTGCACTTCCATTTTGTTCGGACTTATCTTTTATTGGTCAGAATTATGAGTGCTCATGTGAATTAGAGTGCAATTAGAGAGAAGGTACTGCAGGTCATAACAACTGGATCTATATCCTTGCACTAATAGATCTCTCCTACTCTTTTGGAGATTGTGAATTTCTCCTTAACTGATAAGTGACCTGCATTACATGTTTGGTGTCTCTGCTGCTTAGTTGCAGGATAACAGGGAAGAGAGTGGGTTTATACTTTAGTCCCCTTTTTCAAAGTTATGGATTAATATTGGAAAGAACATTAACATTTAAAGCAGCATTCCTTGGCCTGGTGTTCAAATGATTTCCAGCTAGTTGGAAATTATGGCTATATCTAGTGCATTTGTAGGGAAGCTGACCTATAGTATAGTAATATAAAATCCAGAGGGAAGCTAAATTGCACAGCTAGATGCTCAAGATAATTATTGAAAGGCTGGTTAAGTAGTAAATACCTGTGCACAATGCAGTACATACAAAGTCCAGCTCTTACATTCTGTATGCAGTAGAAGTTGTTTTAAGAATAATTTTCCTTTCCACCTAGATTACTAAAGCAAGTAAGGATGATACTTATGAATGTGGAATACTAGGACCTCTGCAGAACATAAAGTTTTATTACTGATATTTTATTGACAATATATATAAACTTAGTATCTGCAAATCATTGCAAATAATTTGCTCCAAAAAGCTATGGCTGGTTATTGTTCTCTCCCATTAAAAGTATATCTGCTAATCTTTCAATTTACTGCCACAAAAACCATGTTATACACTACTAAATATATAGGTATGTGGTAAGAGTGCTAATGCTGACTGGCCTTGTTGCCTGTGTGCATGTTGCATGTTAACTACTCTTTGCTGCAAAAGCAAAATAAATTGGACCCAAAATGTGCAAACTATTTAATATAATATGGAAGAACCTTAAATATCATAGTGATACGAGAGATGGAAAACATTGCTCTCCGTTCCTCATGTGAAATCTGATAGAAACATTTCACATGATACAACAATAATAGAGCCACCTGTCCTATTTGTACCTCCCTGCTGAATACCCTGAAACATCCCTTCTGTGAAATATTTAGATATTTGTCTATTTTAATCTTTCCTTTTTGCAAGCCACTGGGAATATGATATATACAGTGGTACCTCGGGTCACGAACTTAATTCGTTCCGCGACTCTGGTCGTGACCCAAATTGGTCATGACCCAAATCAAATTTTCCCATAAGGTTCAATCTAAATACGGTTAATCTGTTCTGAACCATATGTATTTTTTTTTTTAAACCACAAAAATATGA